TAATACTATAATCAATTGTAAAAATGTCAATTTTTAAATAATAAGGCAGTCATTTGCACATGAATTTTACAACGTCTAAATATTCAAAATAGTAGAAAGAAATATCACAATTTTACTAAAAGCAGAAATATCATATTTATTTCTAACAATAGACAAGAAAAATAAATAAATTTATTTTTCATAATTTACAGCATGCAAAATTTCTAACATAGATAAAATATCACAATTTTTATTAAAAAGATTATTTTTCAAGATAATGAGGTCACGTGCACATAAAATTTATCGTGCCTAAAATTCATGATAATAAGCAGAAATAATTATTTCATTTTATTTTTAAAAAGAATGGATTATTTTTCGAGACAATGAGGTCACTTACACACAATGCTCATATAGACCATCACTTATTAAGAGTTTCTTTCCTTTCTTTTTTTTTTATTTTTTTATTTTTTACTTTTTTTTTAAAAAAAATTTTAGAATTATTACAACTAATTTAGTTGAGTTTTAGATGGGGGAGCTTATTAATTTCTATGGTGTATGGGATGGGCCATGGTGTATGAAAGTCATGGTCCAGGGTGTATGGAAAGAGTATGGTCCCTAGCTAGTTTTAGGCCAATAGATAGGTTCTCGGTGGGGCGAATTTCAGGGGCAGTCTAGTAAAGGTTTAAGCCTATACTTTAAGTTTTTTAGGGTCCTGGAACTCCTTCAGCCAAGAACATCGATAAAATATATTTTCCTAACCAACTACCATTAGAAATATTTAATGAACGACACATGTGACCAAACCTAAGTGATGTTTTACATATGGGTTTTGTTAGGGCACTCCTGTACATGGAGTATATACTTAATATACTCAACATTTTTTAATACTTAATTTTCAAGCAAGTTTTTTTTGGTCAGGAGTAGGGATAGAATGGATATTTCTATAAAAAACTAGTGATATTCTAAAAAACAAGTAATGCTCTATGTGGGTGATGTCGCACATCATGTTGGTGACATAGTGAGCAAGTCACGGTTTAAAACATGATTTTTTCAAAACATCTCTAATTTTTTAAAATCCGTTAAGAACTCCAAGTTTTTCAAAAGATCTTCAAAAAATCGTGTTTTTTAGTAGAGCTGATATAAACCCGTATTTTATCTTTTCTTAAAAAACTTCTTGTCTATAACTTTATTTTTGCATTAGCTTAATATTATTGAATTTTAACTTAAAATGAGCACATTAACAATGGGAGTAAATTAATGATCTTGATGTAGAGTAAAATTTCAACAAAAATTTCACCAATAATTTCCCTTAAAAAAAACATGCGAAAAAATACAAGCAATGTATTCCTAAAAAAATAAGATATCGAAACAATCATAAATTTCAAATTAATAGGCAGAGTTAGAAGACAAAACCAATGAAAATCTTTTTTTTTTTTAACCCAAAGCTAGGAATTCAATGTCAATTTCTAATATGGTTGAACCTTTTGTTGCTTTCTTTATGCATAGAAAAGTTTGATTCATTGCATTTTTTTATTTTTTATTTTTTATTTTTTATTTTTTATTTTTTATTTCATTGGTGTATACAACGTAGCACTTTGGATATATAACAATTATATATATTTGGGTCTTTGTGTTTTGTTTTAGTTAATTGCAATCCTATAATGAGGGTCTTTTTTTCTTTTTATTCTTTGAACAATAATCCTATATGTTAGTTTACAGTTCTTGTTATTTACTAATATAGTTCTTGTGTTAAGTATTATTGTTGTTGTTTCATTTTATGCACCGAATAAATTTACGATATGTTTTGTGATGTGACAACAAAGTAAGCATCGATGATGGATTTATTGAACGTTTAGTCAATAAATTGTCAAGTGTTACTCTAACGACACTAGGTAAGTCTATAAAGTTGTTATTCAATGGCTTTAATGTATCTATACAATAACTGTAAATCATAATCCTATATTATGTCATCTTTACATATCCGATTTTCTCAATCCGGTTTTTTTAGACAAATCTGAAATGTTCACTATTCTATAACATACCTTATTTTTGGCGATCCATATTTTTTACCCGATTTTTTCCTCTGACTTTCTGAAACAAAACCGATTCATTGCCGATATTTTGGTTCATCGATATATTATTATTCCCTTACTTGCTAAATAGTGTTAGTGATGTCATTGTCCTCTACAGTTAATAAATGTTTTTGTTTCTGTTAAGAATTTCTACTTTATCTTGGCTAATTATTTAAAATACCCCTTGACAAAAAGTCACTGCATTATAGAGTTAAGGTATCAAGTATTTAAAAATATTGATTATACCAATTATATACTCCATGTGTAGGAGTACCCTAGCAAAACCCTTCATATATATATCTATCTTTTTTGCTAGCCCATTTTGTTTCGGACCATTTTGATCAATATCTCTGTGGCATCACTTGTATTTGCTCATAAAAAGAAGTTTTTTTTTTTTAAGCATATTTGGTGGGCGAACTTGTCAAGCATGTTTCTATGAAGTTGATGTGCAAAACACCACTACATGTTGTCACTTACCCTGTCGGGCTCAATCCTCGGGTTGGTGATGTGATGAGACACTTAGAAATTGATGCTAATGATGTTCGAATGATTGGGATCCATGGAATGGGTGGCATTGGTAAGGCAACTCTTGCCAAGGAAGTGTTCAACAAAATACGTTCCCAATTCCATGCCAGCTGTTTCCTCTTAGATGTTAGAGAGTCTTCAAAAATAAATGGAGTTGTTGACTTACAGAGACAACTTCTTAAGGAACTTTTTGATGAAGAAGATCCAAGTATATATAATGCTGATCAAGGCATCAATGTTATTAAGAATAAGATTGGGTCGAAGAAAGTTCTTGTTGTATTTGATGACATTGATGATGACAAACAACTTGAAAAATTGGCTGGTAACCGTGATTGGTATTGTCAAGGAAGTAGAATTATCATCACTACCAGGGATGAGCATGTGTTGAATGTGCATAATAGGGTAGACAGTAATCATATCTACAAGCTCGAGGTATTGGATCGCGTACATTCTCTTGAACTCTTTAGTTGGTGCGCATTCCAGAGTAATCAACCGATACCAAAATTTGTGCAACTCTCTAAGGATGTAATATCCACTGCTTGTGGGCTTCCCCTGGCTCTTGAAGTTTTGGGATGTTACTTATGTGACAAATTAAACATTGAAGAGTGGGAAGATGCAATAATGAAGTTGAAAACAATTCCTGCAGATGATGTTATGCGAAAGCTTAAAATAAGTTATGATGATTTGAGTGAAGAAGAGAAGCATATGTTTCTTGATATTGCATGCTTCTTTATTGGAGAAAAAAGAGATTATACAATTAATATATGGAAATGTTGTGGTTTCCCTGCTTCAATTTCTATAAAAAAGCTCTTGCAAAGGTCACTAATAAAGATTGAAGATGGGGATGAGTTGCAGATGCACGACCAACTTCGTGATATGGGAAGACGAATTGTTGAATTAGAAAACCTAGATGATCATGGAAAGCGTAGTAGGTTATGGTTTAGAGGAGATGTCATTACTGTGTTGAAGAATCACAAGGTGAGAAATTCCTAAACAAGCTCATTTTTCTCTTGTCAGAGAAATACTTTAATAAGTTATTTGATTGGCATCGATTTTAAGTCTATTTGATCAGCATGATAGAGTATGTACACTTGTTTTTTAACATCTTGCTGACAGGCTGACATTTACTTTTATTGTCAATTAGGGAACTCGTAAGGTTCGAGGCCTAATGATCAGCGGGATTGAAGACGAGAAGATTTGGGAAACTGAAGCATTTAAAGCAATGAACAATTTGAAGCTACTCAGCATCAGACACGCTTGTCTTAATGGAAGCTTGAAAGATCTTTCATCAGAGTTAGTGTGGCTAGAAATAACGGAACATCCGTGGCAGTATCTCCCAGAAAATTGTAGCTGTGAAAAGCTAGCTGTCCTCGACTTGACAAACAGTAACACTGTGTCGAAGAACAACATCAAGCAGGTGTGGAACTTATATTTAATGCCAATTTCTTCTTTTGTCCCTTGCATGTTTGAAACCTTTCGTGGAAGTTATCCTTCCTGATCCCAACCAACCAAGTATTTTTTTGCACAGCCCTTCCCGAAGTTGAAGGTCCTTGATCTTACCAGGTGCCTTAACTTAGAAAGAATTCCCGACTGTTCTCAATACATGAACTTGAAGCAGTTGATTCTTGAAGGTTGTAAAAGCTTGGTTGAGATTCCCGACTCTATAGGGCTTTTAAGGGATTTAGTTTATCTGAATCTTGAGGGATGTTCCAACCTCAAGAAACTGCCAGAAAACTTTGGACAGCTTACAAGTTTAAGGACTCTCAATTTAAACAACAACTCCAATCTGACAAGGCTTCCATCTACTTTCTCCGGTCTTTGTTCCTTGAAGGAATTGTTCGCAAATGCTTGTAATCTGCAAGGGGTGATTGCTGATGACTTTGAAAAGTTGCCCAAATTGAAGAAGTTGAATCTCTCCCGCAACAAGAATATCCAAGGCCTTCCTAGGAGCATGAGGGGCCTTTCTCAATTAGAAGAGATGCGTATAAGTTTTTGTGAGCAGCTCGTAACCATACCCGAGCTCCCCAATAGTTTGAAATGTCTATATGCTAACCTCTGCTATGAGGTGCAAACCATGCCGGAGTTATCTCATCTTTCTCAACTAAAAACACTGTATTTAGCTTTCTGTAAGCAGCTGATAGCTATTCCTGAGCTCCCCACCAGTTTAAATTATTTGGATGTTTCTCACTGTGTTAATCTGTTAGCTATTGGGAATCTTTCCACCACTTTGGAATCTTTGAAGGCTTCCCACTGCATATCTTTGCAAATTATACCCGACCTCTCTCAGCTTTCTCAACTTGAAGAATTGGATCTCACAGACTGTAAGGGATTGATTGAGATACAGGGCCTCAGTGGGTTGAAATCTTTGAAAACTTTGCACTTGCATGGGTGCGGCCCTCATGCTTTGAGGGGTCTAACGCTAGCAGAGGTATGTTACTTTGCCCAACAAAAACTATTGCTATTTGGTTTTCAAGTTACCTTTATATCTATGCTTGCTAATTATTTTTTCTTTTTATTGTTTTGTTTGTGCGTATAGGAAATATTTGCTGGGTTAGAATGCTTAACAGTTCCCGGAAGCAAGGTTCCAAATTGGTTCCAGGTTAAGTGGATAACGCAGGACAGCAGTGTGTCGTACAGAGTGTCGGGGGTTCCAGATGAAGGCAAATATATCAGAGGACTGATGCTGTGCTTTGCTACTCATTCTGGTTGCACCTACGACGTCTATCCCGTGGAATTATTGATGAAGAGCGAAAATGGAGTAAATTGTATTTACATCATTACTAATTCTTCCAGAGACCCACCAACATCAAATTTATTTTTACCATTTACGACCTGGCCAGACTGACAATCTCCCCAGGCGGTTGAAAAATGGGGATGAAATTTTACTCGTAGAACATGAAGGATTAAGTAGATTGGTTGTGAGATCTCCCTGCAATTTTTTGAAGGAGGTAGGATTCCATCCTGTTTGGGAATCAGAAGATCGCGAGGATTCCATCCCAGAAAAACTCGCAGAATTCTTCAATTCATTGTTTCTTCAATGACAATTTGCAGCTACATAATTTCGAAAGGCACGAATAATTTTTGGTTTAGATTGCCAAACTATGTTCTCTTCTAATATAACAGATGGATTCACAAATGGCTTCAGTATCCGCTGCCTTTTTATTCAGTGAAATACATGCTTTTGTTTTGCCTCTTTCCATTCTTTTGATTCCCAAATGCATCCCCTAAATAAAATGGTGCTAAAAAAATTATCTTGAATCTCGACCAGCCCTGATTTATATTTGAACTGAAAAAATCAAGGTCTCTCTCTCCATGTGTCTGCCTGGGGACATGTCAGCCATTATAGTTCTTTTATGGCTTGATATGGTTGAAGAGTTCTATAGATATCTGATTTTTTTTTAAACATGTTTTCTTATGTTTTTTGTGTATGGCATAAATTTGCCATGGGCTGTCATTTTTCATGATGCTTTTGGTTATTTCCTTGTTTAGATGGTGTGATTGAGAAATTCAAGAGCACAATTTTGGTGAAAGTAAATATTTGAGGGATTAGCTTCTTCCATTTACGTGTCTTTTCTATTAGATCAGAAAATCAACTTCTTACCTTGTGACAGAATAAATGTCTCACCAACTATAAAAACCTTTCATAGCCTTCTGATAAAACCGGTATTCCTCTCAAAAACCTCCTCATTCTAACCATGTTCTAAATGCTTCTATGAAATGTGGTCCTCTTTTTCACGCCAAACACTTGTTTGTTGAAATTCGTGAACCAAATCTAGTATCAGTTTTCCCATCATTTATGCTTATTCATGCTTATTCTCACTCTAACCAGCCCAAAACTACTTAATTCTACTAATCCAGCTGTAAACTTGTGGCTTATCACCATATGAATTTGGCTTCTCAAGCCATTTGATGGCTTTTCAAATTCAAAGCTGCAAATCAAAGCATGTAAACTCACGCACAGCTGATGATCCCGGCTTCTAGTTCAGACCCATTTGTCCAAGCAACTGCAATTTTTTTTTATGCTGTTAAATTATTCTTGATGAAAAATCAGTCATCCAGGAACACTCGATGAAAAATCCAAAGTAGACTTAACTCCATGTCATCTTCGGCAGCATGTCTTCCTTTTTAAAATTATGTGAATTGTAGCAAAATAACGGTAAGCTTTTGAATTTTTTTCTCTCTGATCCAGAACCCTAAAACTCTCTCCTTTTCTATCAAACTATTTATCTAGCTATCTCTTGGCCTCCATAACAACCGAGTGAAGTGCTACAGTTGTGGAAGCCTTCCACAAAATAGATACACTGCTAATGTTGCTCTATTACGACTTGATCCATGATGATATCCTTGGCAGGGACACCCCTAAACTCAGTTGGAGGAAGGGCCCATTAGATGATGATATCTCTAATGTCTTCACTCGGATCAAATTGTTTGTCTTACAACCCTGGAAGATCCTTTCATTCCGCTGTTTCAACTTGCACCGTGGAATCCTTGGAGGCAAAGCTGCCATGGTAGACACTGTTTCCAGCAAAGTAGCAGAGGTACCACCGAAGTGGCATAACTCAATAGAGATCCCATAGGTTTCTATAATGCTGTCAATTTCTGAATATATCCATCCTATTTTTTTTATATAAAAAAGTAGCAAATGATTGTAGAAATTTGTCACCCTTGAGATTTATTTTCCTCACCTGATTGACTTCATTGGTAGCTAAAACAGTTCAGGGAAAGTCCTTTTTAAGATTAGTAGCTAAAACAGTTGGGGATTAGTACATGTGTAATTTTGGAGTGATAGGTGGGCCGACATGGTCCTGAGGGAATTACCAGCTATTTGATCTCTAGCTAAGCAGCTGGGATCCTACGTTTTGTTCTCTAGAGGACAATTGGGCCCCCATTGAGAAGAAAACTGTTGGAACTCAGCTGGTGGAGCTTGTCACCCTCTTCAAAGCAGTAAGTATTTCATTTGTGAATCATGGTTGGATTAGACACTGTGTTTCTGGAATTAAATATCTAAGACCTATCAATCAACGAACAAATCGTACATTTTCATGGAACCATTCCATCAAGTTGAGATATATTGAGGGGATGTAACCACCAATTGGCCACTCACTCTTGGGTTGTGTTACATGGAAAGATCTTAACCAAATAGTAAAAGAAGTTTTAGAATGGGAAACATGCATATTATTTGCAGGGGAATCTCCGGACCATCACTACACTTAATGAACCTTTAATTTGGATACTTGAATAAATGCCAACTCATTAAACCGGGAAACATGCATATTATTTGCAGGGGAATCTCCGGACCATCACTACACTTAATGAACCTTTAATTTAGATACTTGAATAAATGCCAACTCATTAAACCCTTGTGTACTTCGTCTTGTGCCTTCTAAAACAAAAAAAATAAAAGATGTTTCACTTTACAAATGTTTTAGCCCTTAATAGTCAAAAGCACTACCCAGAAAAAAAAAATCCTTCGAGAGTCAAAAGGACGCCCCCAAAAAAGAAAAAAAAAAAATCATTAAATATACCGGAGTCTAGGGCATTGCCCTGCTCTTTTCTCATTAAAACTCAAAATGCTTGTCTAGGAATTGAAGTTTCAAACTGTATGTTCTTCATAAGAAACACATGCAAGTATCATAATGCAATAAGGCGAACATGACAAGGCTGTCAAGAAATATGCAGCTGTAAAATTGGCAAACTAAGTGAATTGATTGGGAGCAAAACCAAAGAGAACTAACATTGAAACTTATGTATATGTACTTGAAGATGCCATCATTTAAGTTCAAGCGGGTCATATAATTCATATGTCTTCACATGAGCATCTGCAAATGCAACAACCTGAGAAGGTTGTAGTGACATTGAGTCAACCATCAAACTGAGAAGGTTGGGGACCAGAGCAAAAGCGGAAGTTAGAGAAAGAAACAGGATCAACATGGCTGAAATCTTCTATGGCCTCGTAGTTGTTTTGTGGAAAGATTTCTTTTTCTCTCTCTCTAGGTGTTGGTCTTTCAAGGCTTTTTTTTCTCGTGTTGTGGTGTGCATCTTCTCTCTCCTCTCTCTCTCTCTCTCTCTCTCTCTCTCTCTTTCATCGTAGAACCACACTATTATTTGAAGCTGAAATGGTGCTCAACAGTTTGATCATCCTCTGGTTTCAGTTGCAGCAATGACGCTCAACAGTTGATCATCCTCTGGTTTAAGTTGCAGCAATGGCGCTCAACAGTTTGATCATCCTCTTGTCATTGGAAGTGAACTTCTTTGTTTTTCAAGCTGGAATTAATTTTTAACATCTTTATCTCCACAATTGTCTTTTCATTATTTAATTAGAATAATTTTATATTACTTTTTTATATTACATCATCGGGCTCAGCCAATTCGCCTATTCACTTTCTCTAATAAAATATAAGGAAATTATCGCTAATATACTTATATTTTAAGGAAATTGATAAAAAAAACTCAACTTCTTAAAATCTCGCCCGCATCTATTTCACAAATTTTGATATTTTTTGGATTAAAATGACCTTCACGGTAGAAAGATTACTGTAATACTTTTTTATATTTACTGTAATTTAAGTACCATTATCATTTCATATAACATTACGGTATTTTAAATACCGTAATAAAATGAATTTATATTACGGTACTTAGAGTACCGTAATATCAAAACTTTACATTACGGTATTCTTAATACGATAATTACTGCAAGGTTGCTTGAAGAACACCGAGGAGACGGTTGCTTGAAGAAACCATGAACAATATACCACAGCCAAGGCCCGGAAGGGTTATGCATTTGGATAAGGCCTTTGAGAGGTTGCTCTCAAATCCACAAGAATAGAGAGGAATGGGGAAAAATGATGGATGGGAAGAGGGTTTGACAGTCAAGAACTGGCCATTACCAGGCTTGCAACCACCAATTGTTGAGCCCGCATTTAATTCTCACTCTTCATTTTCTCTCTCATCTTCATGTTCTTTTTCTGGGGTTTCCAGTTCAAAAGTCTCAGATGGGGAGCTTTGTTTTTTTATTGCAAGCGGTGATTGCAGGTCAGTCTCAATGCATGGATCTCTTTTCTATCATTTACAATTTACATTTTTTTTTTTGCCTATAAAGTTTTATAATTGAAATTTGAATTCCATTTTATATGCTCTTTTTTTTTCTCCTTTTTTTTTTTAAAAGGTTTAGATGGTCGTAGGACCATTAGAATAAAAAATAGCACTAATGGATGTAAAATTATGCCTGTGGCTATTTGTTTCTATGGAGATTATATGATCAAATTTAATCTCCTTTTCCTATGTTTTTTTTGTTTTTTTATGCTATTTCTGAGATGCTTGTCTGATTGGTGTTTTAATGCTTAGTGGTAATTGATATCATATTTTGTTTCAAATAATTTTTAGCTTGACACTGGTTTTGGAAATAGTCCTTTCTATTTGATCTATGGAAATAGTCCTTTCCATTTAATTCAAATAATTTTTAGCTTGACACTGGTTTTGGAAATAGTCGTTTCCATTTATGGAAATAGTCCTTTCCAGTTGATCTATGGAAATAGTCCTTTCCATTTAATTCATTGAATTTCTTTTGTTCGGCTAAAGTTGGGGAAGCAAGACTTCTGGAGGAGGGCAAAAGGAGTCGAAAAAATGTAAATCTCTCTCTCTCACAAAAATGTAAATCTTTATATTACGGTACTACGAGTACCGTAATTCATTGTAAAAACAATACGGTAATTAAATTATCGTTCAAATTTTCCTTATTAATGCGGTATATATATTACCATATAGAGGCGACTAAACATTACGGTATTTAAATTACCGTAATGCTTTTTACAATAAAAAGACTACCGTAAAAGATAGTTTCGTCCAAAAATTGTCAAAATTTGTAAAAAGGATGTGGACAAGATTTTGGGAGGGGGTTTTTTCCAATTTCCTTAAAATATAGGTATATTAGCGATAATTTTCCTAAAATCTAATCTTGGAATACTTTTTTCTAGCCTTCAAAAAAGAAAAACATAAATTCTCACAAATAACATTGGAGGATTAAATATAAATTATCCAAATTGGAATGTTCAAATCCAATAGCTCAAAAATTCAAAATCTTAAAGCATGTCTTAATTCCGGGGCTATTCCCAATATTTTTGATACATTTTTAAAAAATTTCAGTTACTTTCTCTCGTTAAAACTTAAAATTTGAGATAATTTCTCTTTTAAAAATTTTAAGGATAGTTTCTCTCCTTAAAACTTAAAATTTAAGATAGTTTCTCTTCAAAAATTTTGAGATAATTTATTTCTAAAAATTTTCAAGTAGTTTCTCTTTAAAAATTTTAAAATTTAAGATACTTTCTCTCTCTAAATTTTTTGAGGTATTTATCGCTCTAAATTGATCATCTCGACATCAAAAGACATGAATACGTTGTATCTAAGCCTTTGCCTTCCAAAATCAACCACGTAAAGCCGTAAAGGGCTTTTTTATATATATATATTTTTAGGTGTGAGCTTTATTTAGGTAATGAAAAGAGTACAAGACAAAAAGAAAAATAACCGAAAACAAAAAAAGAAACAAAATGGAGAGAACAAGGGGAGAGAACAGAGTCGGCAAAGTCAGTCAAGACAACCTGGTTGGCCAAGAAATCTGCCTCAGCGATGAAATCTCGGACATCATGATGGAAGATAATCTCCACAGCCCTTAGCATAAAGGCATAAGTTTTATAAAAACAAAATAAAGCCTCACCTCAAATCAAGCACTTTCGGCAACCAAAATATCTATAATAACCTTAAAATCAATTTCATTGAAATTTGAAAATAAAAAAATGGTATAGGACTTATAGATATATAAAAACATATTTTTAAGATGAAATAGACGGTCTAAATGCTTTGTTATAATATTATTTTAACGCTTGAAATCTTTTTTTTCCCACAAATATCTAATAACATTTTGAGTGTTCTAATAATAACATTTTATTTTTTAAAGAACATCAGTAGGAGGGTGTGGTTTATATAGAGCCGATGCTCTAAACAATCAAAATAAATTGTACATTCAGATAATACCGAGTAATGTGGTTTCGATAATACAAATCTTTGTAATAGTTATAAAATATATTTTTATCTTTAAAAATGAAATTTAAAGTTTAAAAAATAATGTAGATCGAACATATCTATAAAAATTTGAAAACCCTAAAAATTGACCGACCAAAAATGCGCTACAAGGTATATACTATTTCGATAACTTGAAATCTTTTTTTTTTTTTCATATCGATGCATCAAGAGTTGATCAATTTGCAGATATTTGGGCATCAAAAAACAACCTTCTTTAGGGAAATATTTGAGGTGTGTGGAAACTTTTTCCATAATAGAATAGAAAGGATGAGTAGATTTCATACTCGTGTAGGAGTATACTATTCATGTGGTCCCTCACACAAAACCATGAATGTTTCTTGGATCCACATAATTCGGAGATGTAACCTCTAGAATCCAATGACGAACTTTAAAGAAGAAGCATGAATTCGTGCCTAAAAATAAAAATGTCCCATGAACAACTACCGTCCAATATTTGAAGGGAAAGATCTCCATGATCAAGAAAAATTTCGAATAAAAAGTTATGGCTCGTAATTTTTTCTTGGGCAAGTAATTATTTCTTTTATTGTTTTGGGTGAGATATTGGGACCCTACGGCGTTCCTCCTCACGGAAGCTGCTTGAACTCGCACGCCTGCTTAGAGAGAGAAAGTGAAGTGAGATTTTAAATTCACGCATCAAAATAAGCAAATTTGCGTGTGAGTTTGTAGAGAGAGAAAGTAGGAACTGCTGCCCAACGCTTCAAGACACGATAACACAGAAGAAAGCCTGGGCTCCTGCGAGAAAAGCACTGGAAAATCTATGTAAGCCTTGCCTTGCCTCACCAGTTAGATATATATATATATATATATATATATANAGAGAGAGAGAGAGAGAGAGAGAGAGAGAGAGAGAGAGAGAGA